GGTAGTTCTGTGGTACAGTGAAAAGAAAGTAACTTAGCCCTTTTCCTATTGCTGGAACAAAATATCCAAAATCCACAGTTTAAAGGAGAGGTTTATTTTGGCCCATAGTTTTCAGAGAATTTAGTGCATAGCTGGCTGATTCTAAGGCAGAAATATGAAAGAAGAGCATTGTGGAAAACAGCTGCTCACATCATGGCAGCCAGGAAGCAAGAGAAAAAGGAAGGAACTAGGTACAGGAAGAAACCTTTCTGGGTTACACTACCAGTGACTCACCTCTTCTGACCAGTCCCCATCTAACAGCACATTCAGCTACTGAACTCATCAATGGACGAATCCACTGATAAATATAGTATCCTCATAATCCAATCACCTTCAAAACACATGAGACTTTGGGAGTACTTTTCATAGCTAAACCATAATAGTGTGCATGTGAGATGAAATTATTGAGCATGTTTTTAAACTAGAAAAAGAGAGCAGAAAATAGAAAGAATATGACAATTTAGGAATAAAGAAATTAAAAGTGACCCAGAGAGCCAATGAGATAACTCAGCAGACTAAGTGCCTGCTTTAGCAAGTGAAAGGACCAGGGTTCCATCCCGGTCCCACATGCCATGCCAGCCCTGCCCCTGGGGTGCGCTGAGCCTGCGACAGAGTCAGGGCATGGTGGCGCATACCTATAATCCCAGTGCTGGGGAGCTGAAAACAGGAGGATCATCACAAGTCCAAGCTGGGTAATGAGAACCTGTACCAAATACACAAAATGAAAAAAATAAAAAATAAATAAAATTTTAAAAACTGACCCAGAAGTGATGACTCCGTAAAAAAATTCTTGGGAATAACTATAACCAAAGAAGTATAAAACTTACATTTTGAAAACTGTAGGAGCAAAATCATGCCAAATCTATAGATTTGAAGATGGCTAAAATAATACTCCTCAAATTCACCTGCAAATTTAATGCAATCCCAAATATCTTCCAGCTACTTAAGCCATCTCCCCATCTCGCCAACTACTTAATTTCAGAACTTTACATGATACTAAAATCCATATGGAAATGATAAATGGCCAAAATAATGTGCAAAGAAGAAAAATGGAGGACTCACATTTCCAAATTGAAAAACTAAATTCAAAACCACAATGATACTTTTATGTGATTTTAAACATAAAAAATACAGTGACATTTGGAAAAAGATAAACCTCTAGGTAAATGGAATTATATAATCCAGAAATATTATATGCCCTCAAATTTACTGTTAATTTTCAACAAGGATGGCAAAATCATTGGGGAGGGAATAATTTTTTTTAGAAAAATGTGTAAGAACAAGCTGAATACATGTGTGCAAAAGAACAAAGTTACCACATGATCTAGTAACTCCATTCCCAAGTATATACCTGAGAGAAATATAGATAGTCACATAAAAACTTATACAGGAATGTTCATGGTAGAATTTTTACAATAGCTAAAAAGTAGAAACAACCCAAACTTTCACCTAGTCATGACTAAATAAATGAAATGTGGTATTATCCATGTAATGAAATATTATTTGATAACATAAGGAAGTATTGGCACATGCTATAACATGGATGAACCTTAAAACAATTATGCTAAGAAGTCCAATACAAAAAGGCACACATTGTATGAGTCATTTATTTGAAATTCTAGATATGCAAATCTATAGAAACCAAAGTAAATTACTGGGATTTGGGGAAGGAAAGCTGAGGATTGACTTCTAATAGACAAGAGATGGGCACTGAAAGCTAAAGGATTTGGGGGGTTCTTTCACAGCTAATAAAAGTGCTCCAAAATTAGGCAGTGATGATAGATATATACCTGTGTAGATATACTAAAACCATGGATTGTACACTTTAAATGGAGGAATTTTATGGCATGTGAATTATGTCTCAACAAAACTGGTAAAATACATACAAAGAAAAAACAATTGTATTGAGTCATCAAAATATGAAAATAAATCTTTGATAAAAGCAGAAGCACTTCTTTGATTCGAATAACATGATCAGGCCAGTTAGATAGCTCAGTGGAGTAAAGCCCCCACTTAGGCAAGCTTAGGCAAGCACAGGGACCATGGTTCAATCCCTGGCACCATATGCCATGCCAGCTCTACCCCCAGGGTCAGCTGAGCTGGCCAGAATCCAGGCATGGTGGTGCACACCTGTAATCTCAGCACTGGGGAGACTGAAAGCAAGAGGATCACCATGAGTCCGAGCTGCATAGCGAGACCCTGTAACAGAGACCCAGTCCTAGCCCAGGCCCGGTGAGTGTGTGGGAGAGCTTCCCGCTACCCTCTGCCAGCGGGAACTACTACTGGTCCCAGCCCAGGTGCAGCGTGGGTGAGACCCTCGTACACCCCCTTGGGACACCCCTTACCACTTCGCAGCACCTCCCCCACCCAGCCCCCCAAGTAGGAATTTCTGCCACATTCCAGAAACCCCCAGACCCAGTCCTAGCCCAGGCCCAGTGAGTGTGTGGGAGAGCTGCCTCTCCCCCCTACTCCACCTTGTCCCCTCCAGGCTCAGCTCAGGCCTGGCATACAGGCCTGGGGTGAAACCCTGCAGCTGCAATCCCTGCAGAGAGTGTAGAGGATAGAACCACCCAGATAGTCCAGGAGCAGAAAATCTTACCAGAGGGGCACAACAGGTTCACCCCCAAGGGCAGCAGCAGGAAGGAGCTGAGCACAGCAGCCAGACCCAAGCCAGGCACAGCTGGATAAATCCAAACTTTGTAGATCTGAACCTGAACTTCAGTACTTGCTAAGGAGACCCTGTAACAACTAAATACATTAAAAAAGAAAAAAAGTATCTAGTTCTAATACTATGATAGTTAACTGTGGTGTCAACTTGAAAAAGAAATGCCTAGCAAACTGATTCAGCACAATCCAGGATGAGTGACATACTGAAGACTGACATACTGAAGATGGTAGACCCACCCTGGATGTGGGTGGCACCAACCAACAGACTTTGTAGCATGGAGGGAATATGGAGGGAAAGAAGGAAGTCTTGCTTCTGTTTCTTCAGAGGAGCTCCAGTCTTTGCCATTGCTTCTGGACATTTGTCTCCAGGCTTCCAGCTTCCAGCACACTCTCCAGCCTTCCAGCACAGACCCTTTGGCGGATACAGACTCACACAGGAGGACTCTGTAGCAAGCTCAAGGTCTATAGGTGGGCATCATAAGCCTAATACACATAAAATGTATTCCTCTGGTGAACCCTAGCTGAAACAAATACCTTTCTGTTAAAGCAGTGATGACAGCAATATATTTTGAGGCAACAGCAATAACAAATGTAACTAATGGTTTCATTAGGGCCATTAAATAACAGGGTTAATTGTTAATAACTTTCCCTGAAGGGCCAGCCAAATACCTCAGTGGATTAAAGCACCTGCAAGCAGGAGCAGGGGCCAGGAGTTCCATCCCCAGGCCTGCTGTGCCAGCCCCACCCCCGGGGCATGCTGAGACCACAATTGAGACTGGGCATGGTGGTGTGCTCTTGTAATCCCAGCTCTTGGAGGCTGTAAACAGGTGGATCACTATGAGTCCAATCTAGTAGTGAGACCCTGAACATCTTGTAGACCTTTCCCTAAAATACAAAAAATAAAGTAAAATAAAATGACTTCCCCTGAGATGAAGATCCAGAAAAAAAGAAAAAACAGGCAAAAGATGCTTCTTTTGGGGCCAGATAAATAGCTCAGTAGAATAAGTGCTTCTCTGGCAAGTGCAAGGGCCTGAGTTTAATCCCTGGTTCTGAAAAAAAAAAGAGAGAAGATGCTTTAGCAAGGCTATAGATTTTGAAGACAGTGCTTTCCAGATATTTTTGCAAAGTTGGCTCTGCTAGTGGAATCGCTGCCAAGCTTCTTGGACCTCTCTGGCTCTATCCTTTAGTCATTTTGTAATGCACTAGACTGGGGCAGAAAGGAACCTAATGACGTCTTATTTCTCAGGCAAAACAAAGTTGGAAGCAGAATGCAAAAATTGGTTAAAAGATAAAGTACTGAAATACCTAAGGGTGTCTCATGCTTGCCTGCCTATCATAACTCTTCAGAAAAGCTACAGTTCAGGAAGCATTTTTCCTAAAACATCTTCAATGACTGTCCTCTCTAGCAGATGTCCACCCCAGGGCTGATATTCAAAATAATGATGAGTAGCAACCACTGGCCACACACCAATCAGAACAGTCGGTATCCATGATAACAGAATAGACTGAGCAATCTGCAGCTGTCAGACTTGAAAATCTCCTTGTGTGCTGTGGGAAGCACCCACAGTGCAACTGAGGGACTAGCTCTTAGATGAGTAGCAAAGGGATGTTCATCCCCTCTGCTAATAAATGAATAACTGTCCAAATAGAATCCCAAACATAAGGTACAGAGAAAAAGAGAGCAAAACTTAAGGTTTTAGGAATGAGATTGAATAAATGGTCAATGTTTGCATTTGTAGGAGATTTTGTTGATTTCACAACTAAAAATTTCTCTTGGCAGAAGATTCAAAAACACGCAACTCTAAACTTTGTTTTTCAAATTTAAACTCAAAAAAGCTTTCTAAGTCTAAAAGTAGAACTACATTTAAGCTAAAATTCTTATCCCCACCTTCTCATCATCTAAGAAGCAAAGAAAGAAAACAGATTGAGATCAAGTATGTCCTCCAAATGGGAGAAAATCAGATAAACTAGACCCTCTGGCACACTTTACTAGGCAAGAAAAAAACTTCTTACACTATACTCATAGGGCTTTGGAGCATTAAGAACAGAGATGAGTCATTTTAACAACCATGAACTTTTATTAAACTTCTAGCCAAATATAACAAAATAACTTTTCTTTTATAAAACAATTAAAACACTTAAATATTTACAACATTGTTTTTAAAAGGACAAATAGAGGGAAGAATGAAGAAAAGTATCTAAAAGACAACTTCAAGCACAGAATAAATATAACATTGATATGTCTGCCTGGCCCTGGTGTTCGCTACCAAAGTGCCAGATCCTATGCCTCACAATTATCCAGTCAAAATCTCATCCAGCAACGCCATCTCCAAGGGGGGAATTTTGGCGACCTCAAAGAATGTCCTGCAAAAGAAAGAAGGTTCAAGTCAGTATAAACGAGGCCAAAGCTAAACAGACCCCAAATGGAACAAGTGTAACATAGAGCCCTTGGTTTTATATCTTGGTTAAACCCAAAATTAGAAAGGAAGACGAAAAGTATCTGAGACCATTTCTTGAGAGTAGTCTGAGGGCAATGTTTTAAAGTGTCCCCAAGAATGGGCACAAATCTAACCTCAGCTGTGGGTTGGTACTTACTCTTGAGAATACTTGTTATACACAGTCTTGAGCTTATCATATTGATGGAAGGTCAGCAAGATGCTCAGCTGTCTAACCAGAGGGTGAAGCTCAAAAGTTGTGTAGCCACTGCAATACTCTAAAAGAGGAGCCTAGAAAAGGAAGCATGAACTGTGAAGTGTACCACAGAAAACATACACCCCCACAACCTCTGCTGTCCCAAGCCCAAATTTGCCATCTGAGATTCAGGCAGAGATGATATTTAAAACATTTGAAGGATTCATATCTGGACTAAGTTTCCACCAAAATATTTAACAATGACTATATCTATATGTGTAAGATGTTAGACTCCATCACAGGTGTTCATGTAAGCTGAAATCCATTACAGTTTTAAATCACAGGATTTTATAATTTAATCACTTTTAGGCACATAGCCAATGGCCAAACAAACCCCAGAAGAAAATTTAGATCTCAATTTAGCAGTTGACAGAAAATAAAAGCTGCTCCTCACATGTAGCTTTGAATGCCATTTAACATATACATTTTTTTCAATGAATTGTAAGACTGCCCATTATGTGGCTGAAGCAGTATAGTAATAATTAAGAGTAAAGTTTCTGGAAGCAATCTGCTTCAGTTTAAACTCCAATTCTAACCCAGGTATGATGATGCACACCTGTAATTCCAGCACTTAGGAGACTGAGACCAGAGGATCACCATGAGTTCAAGGCTAGTCTGAATTACATAAGTGAGATCCTATATCAAAAAACAATAAATAAATACTAGTTCTACTAATAGTGTGGCCAGCAGCCAGTGATTTAACTTCATGATGCTTCAGTTTCCCAGTCTGCCAAATAGGGATCATTACAATAACTACATCATAGGAGTAAATGAAATATATATATATATATATATATATATTAGAACAGAGTCTATCATTTAATAAATGTACCCAAAATATTAGCTAGGATTAATATTACTAAGCGCTGTGTAGGATGCTCGGAATACAAAGATGAATAAGGTACTGACTACCCTTTAAGAGTCCAGTCTAGAGGAGATAGAGACATCCAAACAAAGGCTACAAAATTTATGGTCAGTGCTATGATGGAAGTGAACACGGACTACTTAAAAAGACACATGAACTCTGGCTTAGAGTCATAGAAAGTTTTATAGAGTGGGAAGCACATCTGCAGTATTACTGAAAGTCAAGTAAGAGTTCAACAGGTAGGGGGAACATGGATTTTTTTATTTAGCCAGTAGTTTCCTAAAACTACCTTACTTTTCCTGAGCTTTTTTTAAGTATCTTACCTGATACTCCAAACATTCTATCTAGAAATAGGGATGTGGGTTAAGAAGCCTATCAATTTTTTATATGATTCCTGAGACTTCTGCAGGAAATCCAGAACTCCCCTTGAATACTGTTTGGAAATCACTGCCATAAAGGTCAGTAATTGGCATCCTGAATAGGGACTAATGCGGCATAGTGGGCACGTTAAGTAAGATTAGACAGTGCCACTATGGTAGTACAGACCCTTAATGCTTCACCTTGACTGATAACAATAGCCTACTCACTGTTCGCATTTGTATAATCTCCTTCATCTAATATTCCTTCTATATTGTTATAGCAATACTCAGTACTATTTCCAAAACAGACAAAAAGGAGCACGTCACCTTCCTGTTTAAAAAGCCCTCATTTAAAAAAAATTAAATAAATAAATAAGTAGTCCTTATTGCCTTAGCATAAAATGAGTCTCTTCTGTTTATCACACATAAGAGCTAAGAATCTATCCCCAGCACCCTATTCTATTTTCCACACACAAAAGGTAAAGGGAGTTCAACATCCCTCACAATCTGGATACAACTTTCCATTCTGGTCTCATCTCAGCATTCTGTTAAAATGTCTTATGCTCATCCATAGAAAATGTCTTACTGTGCATCAAGCATATCACATTTCTTCCTGTACAGAAAAGATATCCAAAAACTCTACCAAAGGATTTGCAGATTGAATAAAAAAAAAATTAGTAGTGTAGTGGGATAGTCAACACTTAAAAATCAATGGCATTCTTTTCTTTTGTGTGGCCAGCTCAGCCCATCCTGGGGGTGGGGATGATGTGGCATGTGGTGCCAGGGATTGAACTGCAGTCCCTCTGCTTGCCTAAGCTTGCCTAAGCAGGCACTTTAGACCACTGAACTATCTCACCAGCCCCAATGGCATTCTTTTAAACACAAAATCTCACTAAGAGGGAAATTAGGGAAACATAGTCTTTCACAACAGCATCCAAAAAACTGAAATATATCTAATTAGGACTATATATCTAGGAATATATATATAATAAAGAGATCTATACATTGAAAATTACAGTACTCTGAAAGATCAAAACAGGTATCACAAAATGGAAAGATATCACTTGTTCATGGGGTAGAAGAACCAACATAGAGAAAATGGCCTTATTCCCAAAATTTAATGTAATCCTAATCAAAATATTTTTAATAGCATACCTCACAGAACTAGAGAAAATATTACTAAACTTATTTGGAACTAGACGAGATCTAGTATAGCAAAAGCAATTCTAGGAAACAAAGAAAAAGCAGGGGGCATCATAATCCCTGATTTGAAATTATTCTACAAAGCCACTATGATAAAAACAGCATGGTACTGGCAAAAATATATATACCCAGTAATCAATGGAACAGATTCAAAGATACAGAAACAACTACAAAAACACTCAGCCACCTGATCTTTGAAAAAGGAGTCAAAGATATTCACTGGGAGACAGAAAACCTCTTTAATAAATTATATTGAAAAAGCTGGCTTTCTATACACCAAAAATCAACTAGACCTATATCTCTCACCATGCAGTAAACTCATTTTGAAATGTATCAGAGATCTAAATATTAAAACAGAAACACTAAATCTGTTAGGAGAGAGAATATATAGAACACTTGAAAGTATAGGTGTAGCCAAGATCTCATGAACAAAACCCAGATCGCATGGGAAATAATACAAAGAATCAACAACTGGCATGTAATCTTATTAAAAATGTGCACACCAAAAAAAGTCACCAACAGAGAGACAAGACAACTCACCAAGTGGGAAAAATTTTATCCAGTTGTCCCTCAGACAAAAACACTAATATCTAGAACATATAACAAATTGAAAAACCTCAGCCCCCACCACAACAAATTTAAAGACCCAGTCCAAAAATAGGCATCTGAGACGAACATGCACTTTGCAGATGAAGAAGTACAAATGCCAAATAAATATATGAAAAAATGTTAAACATCACTGACCATTTGAGAGATGCACATTAAAACAGCACTGACATTTCATCTCAATCCAGAAAAATGGCAATTATTGAGAAATCAACCAATTAACAAATGCTGGGGGCCTATGGGGGTAAAGGAACCCTTTTCCACTATTGGTGGGAGTGCAGATTTGTGCAACTACTGTGGAAATCAGTGTGGAGATTCCTCAAAAAACTAGCATCAGAGGTACTGTCTGACCTAGCAATTCCCTTTCTGGGTATCTTCCCAGAAGAATTAAAAACGTCATACCACAGCAACATATGTGTACCATGTTTTTAGCCATACAGTTTGTAATAGCTAAATCTTGGAAATAACTGAAATGCCCATCAATCAAGGAATGAATTTTAAAAAGATGTGTTTTTATACAATGGAATACTATTCAGCCATAAAGAAGGAAAAATTTTAGACATTCCTAGTTAAATAGATGCACCTTGAGACCACACTCTTAAGTGAAAGAAATCAGACACTCATGTGTAAATGCTGTATTGTTTCTTTGGTATAAAAAACCAGAAGTGTAAATAAGGCCAAAATATATAATAGATATTGTAAAAAAAGAAGAAATTTTTCAAAAGAAAGAAGAACTAGGGAAGGGGAAGGAAAAAAAGGTAGAGGCAAAAGGATACGAGAAAGATAAAATGGAACCAAACTTTGTAAGTAAGGAGGATAAAAGGGGTTGAAGGGAAAAGAAATTGAAAGATAGAAAAAAAGAAACCGGGGGCTATCATGTATGGGTATAGGTACAAATTCCTTATGATGAATGTGGTCATTATGTATATCTAAATTGTACCAAGAAACTTAATTTAAAACTCTAAAGTATTTTTAAACGATTCATTAGAATAATACTGGCTAAATTTAAAAAATTATAATATTTATAATTAAAAAATAAGTTGTGTTACACACATGTAACTACTACCCAAGATGTTTGTAAACTGCATAAGCTACAAATGTGTACTAATAAAAATGTCTCGTATCATCATAGGTAGGATCTTACAAGTTCATTGGATTATGAGGGCTTATAGTTGACTTGATGTTAGGAAGCAGGGTCTGGTCAGATGAGACAGGTCACTGAAGGCATGACCCTAGAAGGGCTTATCTCCTTTCTTGTCTACTCCTTCAACTCTGATTTCTGGAAACCACAATGTAAAATGCTTTTGCTCCTCCATTCCACTGTGCTATGCTGTTCTGCTCTAGAGCCAGCTCACTGTGGACTGAAACATAAACCAAAATAATCCTCTCCTCTCTTAAATTGTGAGTATCAGATATTTTGTCCCAGCAATGAGAAAGATAGTTAGTAAGACAGTCACCAAGAGCTACTCACAGTCACAGTTTATACAACCCCTAATCCTGTCACAAATACTTACGTGGTTTTTTAGTTTCTTCATGTAGAGGGCCAAGAGAAAAGAGGCAGCAGCTAGCTTGGAAGCCCTAACATGGACATAGTCATACTTCTGCAGGGTCATCTCACAGATGAATCTAGACAATGTCAGAGTCTTCATGCTCACACTGAGACACTAAAGACAAAAAAAGGCTTGTTCAATAATAAATTCAGAGAATAGTACCAGGTAGAAGACTCCATCTTGAATTATCCCATCCCTAATGTAAACTTTGCTTGAACATTATAGCTCTCCTCACACCGGACTCACCCTACAGTCCTCTTTACAGAGAGATTTTGAAACTAGCGGTGAAGTCTGTAATCATTAGAATTTGAAAATAAAAATTATCAAATTTGCCCCCTCCCATCTTCCCTTTCTGTAGAAGACATCCTTGGAAAAGTCCAAGTTTCCAACTGTGACTTTGTACCTCATTCTACCCTAAGAAGTATTCCTCTAAAACAACCCTTTTCCTTTTCTTGTTTGAAAAGAAAATGTAGCATATATCATGCGAAAAATGCACAGCATACACTTGTAGGATATAATTAATAATTTAATGCAACCTCCTCTGTAAGCAATATTCAAGCAAGAAAGTGAGTATTGTCAGAATTTCGCCAAAACTTTTCATGTACCCTTACCTGATCAAAGAATCAATTCCCCCCACCCACCTCTGCCTTTATCCCAAAAGTCTTAGAGCACATTATGGAAATCTGCAATGTGCCCAAGAGCATTTGTAATGAACTGCATCCCCAGCATTCCCCTTTTAATTTTGAGATAGGGTCTCATTAAGTCAGTAGGGCAAGTTGAGCTCAAACACGTGATACCTCAGTCTCTCAGAGTTTTGGGATTACAGGGCTCTGCCACCACACTGGACTTACACTGTCAACATTTAGGTTAGGAAATCAGCAGCGTTTCTGGATAGAGATGACTAACAAAGAAAGAGAAAAACAAACAAGTTCCACCTCTCTCTTACCAGAGCATATCTGCGCAGAAAATGATAGGCAATCGGAATGTTGATGTCAAAATTGAGAGTCTTCAAGATGTTGATTTCCATACCAAGCATCTCCTGTCGTTGATACATATCCTCACAGATATATAGGAATTCATTCACACCAGGTGGAATGATCTCCTGAGGGTGAGAGGAGAAGCAGTGACAACCATGCAAAGTGCTCTATCCTCTCTGATTATAGATGGAAGGTAGAGGGGAAGGAGGGTGAAGGATAGGAGGCAACCACATTGCCTGTCACACATTTTCAGGGAAGCTCTAAAAGCCAGCTTTAGATTAATCTGATTGTTTCAGCAGTAAAACAAAACCAGAGAAATGACAGCGAGCCCTGCTGTAAAATTACCACCACCAGACAGCAGAAATAGCCTAATGGTATGGATTCTTACAGTACCAGAAGCAACATAAGGGTCACAGAGCTTGAAAGCAGCAATCTTCCCTCCTAATGAGAACCAGGAATTTGAGATCTATGGTCTGTTCTGGAAGAGGGAAAGGGGCTGCAGAAAGCAAAATGTTACAGATTACATTTAATATGTCCCTCCAAAAATCCCATGTTTTCAGAGGTAGGGATTTGGGAAGGTGATAGAATGATGAAAACTATATACTCATCAGTGGACTAATGTGCTATTAAGAGATGAGGCATGCTCATGGAAGGATATATATCATACCATCAGCCTCTTCTTCTCTAGATCTTTCCTTTTCTCTTGCTCTGACTACCATGAAGTGAACAGTTCTCCTCTGCCATGCCCTGTGCCATGTTTTTGCCTAATCTTAGGACCACAGCAATGGAACCAGATGACCATGGACTAAAACCTCCAAAACTGAGTCCAAGTAAACTTTTCTTCCTTCATGTTGACTTTCTCATCTGAGGGAGCTAGAGACTTTCTCATCTGAGGGAGAATGGACATGGGGCAGGACAGGAAGGTGCTGAGTATTAAAGGTACCAGTATTCTGAGAGTGTTTTCCCATCTCCTGTCCTCTAGAGATTGAAGCTTGGATTTCAGGAGTCCATTGGAGGCAGGAAAACCCCTGATTCTCTTCTGTCCATCTCTCTTCTCACACAGTTTGATATCACAGACTAGACCAACTTGACATTGTAGAAAAGGATACTGAGGTCCAGCGAGGGTAAGATACTTGGTCAGGCTCATATGGCACTCCTTCCTTTCTTCTCTACTCATCCTATTTCCAAAATTTCCCTCCTAAAAACATTTTGGTATTTTTCAATTCTATGAGAGGAAGACACTCCTTCTCCATGGGATTTAGCAGGGGCCCTTCATTCTGGCCAGCAGAGGACAGATATTCCTGGTTTTAATATCTGTTATGAAATCCTCCCTTTCCTTTTCTTCTTCCTCTATTCTCCCTTATTCTTTCTATTGACCAGGACTCACTCCTGAGGCTAAGGCATGGGATATCTCCAGGGATAAGTCATAAGCATGAGCAGGTATAGGGGGATGAAGTGGAAGGAACAGGTATAGAGGGAGGTGACAAGGGTTCTGGCAGGGGAGGGAGTGAGGGAGAAAGATGAGAAAGGAGGGAGGACGCCA